GCATTGTTTGGGTGCTCTTGTCCAAACAAAAAAAAATAAAGGAAAAACAATGGGGGGAGTCTCTGGCCCGTTTTTCACAAGCATTGTTTTCGAATACAAGCACATAGTGTCCAAACAAAACAAAAAAAAGGAAAAACGGGCCAGAGACTCCCCCCACTATGTGCTTGTATTCGAACATGCCGTGCGGATTCGTTGACACTCCCGCTCGACGCGTAGTGTTGATAGCTTTGTTATGTTTCCAGAAAAAAGATTCTGTTTTTCGAATCCAGAAACCAGTACTACTAAAGTGGCTATACATACCAACTTTTTCACAGATCTCTATGCTTTGATAGGAACTGGAAGTTTTGAAACTGGTTGGTATACTACCATAATGAAGTTAACTTGTGCATAGTAACCGACAAATTTAGGCAAAATACAAGATCTACGTGACCAAATTTTCCAACTCTGGCGAGCCACACGCGAATGCTTTTTCAACAGACAAGCGTCTACTTTCAATTCTAATTTGCTGGATTGATCGATGCTGAGGCTTTCTTTTACGTATGTAAACCATAAGTTCCCAATTTTAAGAGAATTCCCGCTAAGATAACAGATCCAGCGGTGGGTGCTTCTACATGAGCTTCAGGTAACCAAATATGAACTGGTACCATAGGTACTTTCACTGCAAAAGATGCAAAAAAAGCAATCCATAGCAATATTTGACGTCGTTCGCTAAATTCTGTTGTTAATAAGATTTGTAAATCAGTGGTTCCCGTTTGAAACAAAATCAAATACCCCAAGATGATGAGGTGCCAAACGACTCCGTCGATATGAGCTCTTGGGAGTCATCAGCCTGTTATCCCCGGCGTACCTTTGATCCGTTGAGCGAGAGCCCTTCCACACGGGGCCCCCGGATCACTATGGCCGACTTTCGTCCATGAAAATACAATAAAATCGTGAAATAAATGAATGTTTTGATATTTGGAATTATCGAAATAAATTAGTAATAAATAAGTACTTAGTAATATTCAACGAATAAGCTTGAATCATACTTATTATGAATCAAAGTACCCACTGGTATATATGCTAATTGTACACAATTTCCCAAAGCTTGCTCCAGGTTCCCAAAGCTTTGGTGTAATAATTTGTAATTCTTTGTTCTAATAAACTAGATAGTTCCGCTCCAGCAAATTTGTTCATAAATTTCATGCTCTCTTCTCACCCGGGATATAGGTAATGAAATTAATAAGAAATTAAATTCATTTATTGAATATAGGGTAGCCTGCTATTCATTCATTCCGCCGATTAGGCGAGGCTACGGTGCCTTTCTTTCTTTTTCTTTTCTTTTTTTGTTTGTTTCTTTCTCTAATCTAAGGCGCCTCTTTTTTAGGCGCCTTTCTTAAGCGGAAATGGGCCAATTGAGAATGTTCTCAATCTTAAAAATGAATCCAAAAATTTTGAATATCGTAGTCAAAGAAATTGGCGAACAATCACGAAAAAAAACAACAAATCCGTACAGATATGGCTGAAAGTCTGAAGTAGGTGTACAATTACCAAAATGTGCCTTTGCCGCTTTCTTTCTTTCTTTCTTTCTTTCCGTCTCATTAATGAAACAAGTGAGATGCGTTGCGTAAAGTCTCTGAGGATCCCAAACAAGTCAAAGTACATCTCTTACGAGGAGTTTCTTTCATATGTCAAGGGCTGGTAAGGTTTTGCGCGTTGTATCGAATTAAACCACATGCTCCACCGCTTGTGCAGGCCCCCGTCAATTCCTTTGAGTTTGTGGGGTCCACACATCGCCGCGGGCCCAAGAGGGAAACACAGTTTTCCCAAGAGTGTAACGCTGTCCTCGTGGTAGCGACGCGCGAGGCCCGGCTTACGCTTTGATAAAAGTATACAGATATAGAAGAAAGGACCACAAGGAGAGTGAAGTGAACACTGAATGTGTCCCTTTGGCCAGAAATTATGAAAGGAAGGGGGAAAAAACAGGCCGATCGTCTTTCAACGGGCGTCTAGGTTTGGCGAATCCAAGGAGGAGATTGATCAGCATTAACGATGACGCATTCACAGCAGAAAGCGAATGATTGGTAATAGCCTGATAGCAGTGATAGGTCATATGGGCATCCGCATGTGCAGCGAAGGAAATTATGATGACAAACACTAACAGAGGGAGACACTGAACAAAAACTTGGGAAAGCTCTCTCAGTGTTTTTCCATGTGAATTGGCTGTTCCTAATAGCCAATTTACATGGCCAAACAACCAAAATTTACACGGCAAAATGCTCACATGCAATGAACCACTTGTATTCACACTCCAATCATATGCACCATGAAAGTCCAGAGATGGGGAGTCCAGATTAGCGCAGCTTGGGGATATTATACAAAATTAGAGTTCGAGTCACATAGCGCTCAACAGCACGATAGCCAGCAGCTTCAACCAGGTATGTAACAGAGTTCATTCCTCATGTAACTCTCTCTCTCTCTCTCTCTCTCTCTCTCTCTCTCTCTCTCTCTCCCTCTCTCTCTCTCTCTCTCTCTCTTTGTATCGCACAGCCTTACTCCTGTCTCTTATACACATCTAGATGTGTATAAGAGACAGCCCCCCTTCCCCCCCCCACTCTCCCTCTCTCTCTCTCTGTGGACCAAAGCTTGCGGTCTCTCTCTGTGAAAGGATTTTCACTTTGCAGACCCCAAATTCGAGTTTCAGGGTCAAGGTCCCCAAGTCAAAAAGAGGCGGAACAGGCCGAAACAGAAAAAGGTCGCGTCGTTAGCCCATAGGACGCACAAGCCAAAATTCAACTGGTACCCAATAGGCCTCAAAGTCCAGTCCCACAGTCCAAATGCAGCAGCGCTACAAGAGAAGTCCGGAAGGTACCGGGCCTCAAAATTCCAAAGGCAAACAGGCCACGGGCGACCGGTACCAGTCAAGTCAGGCCCAGACCAAGTCAAGACGGTTCCCTCAACCCCTCCTACTCCACCCTCCCCTTGTCTGTACAGCACTTGCTCAGACAGACTAGATCCGGCGCCACACAGCAAGGCGAGAGGTGCTGAAACAAGCAAATGGCAGTAAAAGATGGAATAGGCTATCCTATCGCTAGAACAAGCACCAGTATTTACATGTGCTCAATGGGACGCTGGACCCGATTTCCAGCAGGTGAATCTCCGCACCAATAGATGGAGCGGCCAGCAACAAGGTTACTAGGGGAGGCTGCTCATATCACCTGCCCTAGTAGACACAAAAAAAGAAGGAAAAAGAAAGCAGAGGTCAAGCGAAGTCAAGGGCCAGTCCAGTCAACATAAAAGGACTGGCCCAGTGACAAGGACTGGATAAAAGAACAGATTGATAACTCGTGAGAAGGAGGAAGCGCTGTTGGCTGCTTCGCAGTGAGCCTTTTTGTCCGGAACCTGCGGCGGTTGCCCTCTCTATTGACGACCCTCTATCGGCAATGCTCTTCAGTCACATGACAAATTTCTCAAGCTAATGAAGTACCACAGTACCACATTGGATAGAAGAGGGCCAAAGGGCTGACCAATGTGTGCGCTATTGCGAGCTGACTAAGCGCCAGAGAGCCCTGCTGGACAGGGCTAAGCTGTGGAAGACAGGCGGCCATAGCCACAGTAGTAGTAGTAGTAGTAGTAGGAGGAGGAGGAGGAGGAGGAGGAGGAGGACGAGGAGGAGGAGGAGGAGAGCACGAGTAGGAGGCGGATGTATCCAGGGAATGATCCTCATAGTAGAAGAGGTTGTGCTCGCCATTGCCAATTTGTCATCATTGTTCTCTCAAGGATCACACCATTGTAAACTGAAGTGACCTCAGTAATCTGGCAGATAATCAAAGGCTTCTTCTTTTTTCCTACTACTTTTTTTTTCCCTTCTTTTTGTTTTCTTCTTTTTGCTTTGTTGTGCAGAGTTTTTCATCCGCTAATTACAAATTTCTAGACATTTATCTCTCTCTGAGATGTACGTTTCTTTTTTCTTTTTTTTTTTTCCCTTCTCTTTTCTTCTTCTTTGTTTTCCCCTTTTTTTTTTTAATGGTGTGCGGCAATTTGGAGGCATCTCAAGGCCCCGCTTGGGGAACATGCAAATTTGGCATGTGGTTTATTTACCCACTAGATCATAAAATCCAGATCTAGACAATAATTTAACTTTCTCGCAATGCTTTACCTTCGTGGATATTCTCAAACTAATAAAAATTATTAATAAATAAATAAATATATCAAGTACCAAAAGAGTTATAAATCGCCGTTTCCTACAACATGCACCATGAAAAAAAAACCTTAGAAAATCTGTCGCGTTACTCAGGTAACTTCAACAACGCACAGTGAAATAATCACCGCCGCAGAAAATGGAGTGGGATGTCAGTTACTAGATAAAAACTTAGATGGTGAGGTGGCAAGGAGGTAACGGTAATACAATTTGCACGAGTCCAATTAACCCCCCAGTACCTTTCAAAGGCAAAAAAAAAAAAGCACGCCGGTTAACACGGAGGCCGGCCCCGGGCAGGTACATCCCAAATGCTCGGCGCGCAGGGCCCACGGCCGACGTATGGGAAAGGTCCTGGGGGTTTGAACTTTAAACTTTAAAGACCAAATTTCCTGAAATCCCTCTCATACTCTGCCATGCCCTGCATTGACAAGTTCTGAGCCACGAGTGCACGGACACAGTTTGGATTTCTGTGCAAGTGTAATAAAGCAGAAAACGTCTGCGGCATGCATCGGCCAGATGTGTGTGAAGTAGCACAGAAACAGTACACTGCTGCTGAAAGAATGAACAGCCTAAACATAAAAAGAATTAAAGAATGCCCTGATATACAAGTAGCAACACAGTGTCACACACACACACACACACAAAAAAAAAAAAAAAAAAAAAAAAAACTAATATTAACGGACAGCGATCACCAACACGCTTCAAGAAAGACGCTTCGAGTTGGGGTCACCTTACCTGACTGCTTTTGCTTTGCTTGTTGGGTGCCGACTCTGCCGAGACTTTTCTCACCGGAGCGGAATTGGCCTTTCACATTACACTGCACTGTGGAAGCCAGCCAGATTCCTCAGGTGCGCCTTGAAAGCTGTCATATAACATGCTATGTTCCCGGGAAGTGACGAGTGGCACATCGGCGTTTAGCTTATGATACCAAGCCCCTTAGACCACACCTTTCGACAACAAACTCGCAAGAAGTTGGTGGGAGATGGGGCGCGAAAACCACTTGCATTCGGCGCCTCATGTACGCTTGAGAACCATCCAAGGTGATTCCAAACGCACTTGTCGACCTGGAAAGAAAGAGACGTGTTGTTATGCAGCTGCACCAGGCCAAGCCTAGCGCGGCAACCACCCTCCGACCTGACGTGAGCATGTAACTCAAGTTCCCAATTCGAGCTTCCGCCAAGCTGCTGCCACCCTCAGCTCCCTCGCCTTCTATGTAGTCTGTCACTTGGTTTGTCAGCAGAACAGGTATCTGGAATTCAGAAGCGATGCGCTTCAGCTCCCCGGCAACTTGAAACAGAATGCTTGCGCGGTTCGACATGTCGAGGATTGTGTTATCGAACTCGGAACGGAAGAGGGCGGCGATAGAATCAATGATAATCATCCGTAACGGTAATGGGCGCCTGGATCTGCCGGAAAATGCTGAGCGCAAGTGTCTGAGGAGGGAGAGAAGTTCGTCGGGGGTGTGAATTCCTTCGACAAGGACATTGCTGCAAGCGATGCGAGCACGCTCTTCGGCACGTGGATCTTCTCCTCTCCGACTGCCGACGGTGCTCCAAAACAAGGGTTCCCTCCAGTACTGCTGTTGAAAAGTGGCGCAAACCGTCGTTTGCATTCCATTTGTCGCACATTGAGGAGGACAAGGAGGAGGAGGAGGAGGACGTTGGGACGGAAACACAGGAGAAGCAGGCGATCGCTGCGGGCAATTCATGGCATTCTTATCATCGACTCGAGTTGGTTTCCTCAAGGTTGACGCTATTTGCCACAGTCGCTTCATTGGAAAATAACCCTCCGTGAAGATGTACAGGGACCTGCCACCCATTCCTCCATCGCTTAGAGGAGCCTGAACCGCCAGAGCCATCTGGAGACAAAACTGCGTCTTTGCACTCGTGCTTTCACCGACCAACTCAGTTACACTTCCACAGGGAATCCCCCCCCGCAAGTGTGCATCTAGAATCGGGCAGCCAACTGTGCATTTGCGACTTGTGTCGGCGGCAGCCGACAGTCTCCTTGGCTTCAGCGTGGTCACTTCGTTACTGTCTGAGGAGCAAAGAAGTTGCTTGATGTTGTTCTTCGCCGAAATGCAAACACTGTTCCTCAGTCCGGATCCACCGGCAGATGCAGGAGCATGAACTGGTGCCGCTGCTGATTTGGATCTTGTATGTATACCTTGTGCTGATGACGAAGTCCCGGGTCCACCGCCAGATCCAGTAGCATGAAGTGCTGCTGTCGCTGCTGATTTGGATGTTGTAGGTATACCTTGTACTGATGACGAAGCCATCGCCGCATCCGGCAGTTTGCGGACGCCCACAGCATAATGTGGCCTCCTTTTGTTTCAAGACAAACCCGAGTTCGAATCCAAGTGCAATTGGATGAACAGAATAAAATAGTTCAGAATTACCTGGGACACTGGGACAGGTCAGTTCAGTGATAACATCTCAAGGTCGTCGCCCTTTTTTTTTTTTTTTCTTCAGAAAAAGGGACAAAGGTGGGTGGGGAAACAATCAAGGCCAGTCAATCCTTCGCGCCGGGAACAGTCAGTGCTGTCAGGACTCCCCGGGCTGTAACATGGGGAGGCATTCGTGTGGGTATTGCTGTTGCGACGTATCGGTAGATAAGGAACCCGAGTGAGTGACGCTCCCCAGAATAGAAGGAGCACGGCGTGAAAAGGGCTTATATATTTATTAAAAAAAAAGAAAGAAAAAAAAAAAGACACAGGCAGTCTGTCGACCGAATGATGAGAAGATCCTCGACGCACGATGCTGGTAACTCTGTACACATGCATCTCCCCTGGTTCTTTTTCAGTTTCCCTCCACAAATCATCTAATCTACTCAGTCTCCCAACTTACTTCAGGAATGGACCGTTTAGGAAACACGGATGACGAAAAAGCTGTTAAACACTCAAAACTCTTGACCTCAAAACCAACTTACGTAAACTGGAATGGCATTTAGAAAAAGTGCACGAGTCGCGCACATGCGTTCCATCCACGTTACGATCGATGCCGTCAACCAACGCTGTGCCAGTTGTACATGCACGTGTAAACCGGAATGGCATCGTCTGCTCCTCCTTCTGCATCATCGCAGTCGTGAGCCCGTCTCAGAACCCCCACCCTTCTTGAACCCCATATCCTTCTCAGACGCAGGTGTTGTTGTCAACAACATCCGACCCATCTGACGTGGGTGGCTCACTGACTCACTCGGATCCCGAGGAAACGTGGCATCGCACTCGGACAATCTATCGACAACTAAGTACATATGGAACGCATGGGAAACCAAGGCAGGAGGCGGTTGAGACCGTCAAAAAAAGCACGTTATGACTTACGAGTTACGACAGTAAAATGGACGGATAACTGGAATCCCCTCAGACAAGATGGCGATACGGCAAGCTCAGGCAGCTTCAGTGGGAATATATCATAATAGCACTCTGCTTCTACTACAGTCCTGACCATGCAGCATAGCTAGAGCATTTGCATGTCCATCTACCCGAGAGGCCCACTCCTCTGAAGTATAATGGAGACGCGGAGAGCGAAATCCGGATCTATCTGTTCCTAACTTTTGATCAAACCAATGGACAAGCAAGCACGATATCCGCCTGCACCGCATACTGGGCGTGGGGCTCATTGCTACTGTGCATGCTGGAATGCTGTGCGCATTTGGCATGTCAGCGTTGTTATCTTAACCCCCAAGCTTGCACATCAGATGGGGCAGTGTGCGTTGGGTTAAAAAAATAAATAGAGAGAGAGAGGGAGAGAGAGAGAGAGAGAGAGAGCTGTCTCTTATACACATCTAGATGTGTATAAGAGA